ATATCGTGTGATTGTAATAGTGGTCACGCGATTTTGGATTTCTGATATTTTAGTAATAAACCTAGAGGGATTACTGCCAAAAGCCCCTAGGTTCCGAGATTGGTATGTGTGCCTCTGGGTTCATGGTCAGTCAGAAGCCGGAGAAGGCGTGTGAGGGTGGCAACCCAAAGCATTGTCATGGTGGGGAGCAGGGCCGATTTCACCCCCCATCCCATGAAGCCCCTCATGCCTCGTCAATGCTGTCTCATACCTGGCTGTTCATTAGGCTCTAAAAGATGCAGGCCACCATGTCGCCGCTGCAAAGTGGAACAGGCAGAGGGTCAGACACCGTTCCCCTCCCAGGGCGGCATAGCACCATAATTAAATGGGTATTTCTAAGGTAAATGTGAACACAATTTGGTGATAGATTGGCTGTGGGACAACTGGGTGTCACGTATGATATGAGACTTCTGACTTCCACATCCAGATGGTTGATGGTGACATTTGATGAGTCAGGGAACACTGAAAAGGGATCTAGTTGGGAGGAGTTTGTGGATCTAGTTTTGTTCACGGTGAGTGCGCTTCTAACTTCTGGCTGGAGGAAATAACCTTTCTTTCACCTGATATTTAAATAAATAAACTTGGGCTGGAGCAATAGCACAGCGGGTAGGGCATTTGCCTTGCACGCGGCCAACCAGGCTGACCCAAGTTCAATTCCTCTACCCTTCTGGAGAGCCTGGCAAGCTACCAAGAGTATCTGCCGCATGGTAAAGCCTGGCAAGCTACCCTTGAGGTATTCGATATGCCAAACACAGTAACAACAAGTCTCACACTGGAGACGTTACTGGGCCCGCTTGAGCAAATCGATGAACAATGGGAGGACAGTGCTACAGTGCTACAGAACTTGGGTTAAAATAGTGGTTCCTCCCTTGTACCCTCTGTACAAAAGCAGTGTCATCAATGAGCCACTAGGTGTCATTACTGACCAAGACAATGTTTGCCTGCTTTTCCTCATTTGTGCACATTTTGCTATGCCTCATCCCATTCTCACAGATGAGAATATCAAATAAAGATGGAAACTCTAATTGTAATGATGCATCAGGGCTATCAGAGTTTTCTCATATAAAATATAAGATCTGAACCTAATTTATATCTCATTTCCAAACTGGGAAGTTATAGATCACTTAATGGTCACTAAATAATTCATGTTAGTTACTCATGTTAGAAGCGTTTCAATGTCTCTAAAGATATAAACACTGTTAAACTTCTATGTACAGTAAGAAACACCTCACACAAAATCTTAGTCATTACTTCATTCATCAAATAGAATTTAAAAAACTCGAAAAAATAGATGCCATTTCCCTCCTTTCCACTCTTTTTGTGGTTTGTCCTTTCCTTCTTTTACCCTGGCCTTTTTTTCCTTTTACCAAGAATACTGGTGTATAATCTGTTAGAAGTCATAATTTCAAAAGATAGTAAAACATGAAATCACATTGGTAATAGATGGATGTGTTATTAGTTGAATTTCTAGCCAGCCTTACTTCAAATTTAAAAATAAATTTAATAAGAAATTTAATTTGGTTAATTTTTTGGCGGGGTCACGCCCAGTGGTACTCAGGACCTATTCTTGGCTCTGCACTCAGGGATCACCCCTGATGGAACTCAGGGAACCTTATGGGATGCCAGGGATTGAACCCAGGCCAGTTGCATGCAAGGCAAGCACCCTACTATCACACTAGACCCCTAAAAATGAATTTTTATCATAACATTATTCAGTATAAACAGAAGTAGAGAAAATATGGAATTATCAAGAATTTACTAAGTGAATTGATCTATACCCTGTTTTTCTGAATTTTTCTTTAAATAAGAAAGTGATTAAAATGGACATTTTATTGCAGTCATACATGTCTGCATTTATACTTATATATGTACAAAAATATGCATTTTCTTACATAACCACTTACTTCTCATAGCCATCTTTACAGCCTAGGAAGAATTTTAGCCTTTAGGAGTTCTTTTCTGTTTTCACATAATACCTACCCTATGTTCAGATTTCCCTGTTATTTCAAAATTTTCTCTTTATCATTGGAGTATTTGGATGAAGAGCCATACACTGCCTGTGGTGTGTTTGCTTGGTGTGTACTGTAGTCTCCTGGGCTAGCAGTGCCTCTTTTACTGAGCTGAACTTACAAAAGAATAAAAAGTCTGCACATCTATGTGAGGTTGGAGAAATTGCACAGGGGCTAAGGCATATCCCTGGCAGCCCTGAGCACTGCAAGGATGCTCACAGGTTCCAGATGATTCCCATCCCAGCACACCAGGTGTGGCCCAGTGATGCCCAGTGCTGCAGAGTCTACGCAATATCATCCTTTAACCTTCACATTGAACTACTAGCCGCACTGGTCTAGAATTGCAGGGACTGGATCCTGAGCTCCTGAGTACCACATCAAGTATCTCCCGCATCACCCCCTACCCCGACCACCACCCCCCCCAAGAGAAAGCTCTTGGTAGAAATTGATTCTGTATTCTAAAATTTTATTGAAATCACTTGCTATTTCTAATGCCTTTAAACACTGTAGCACTGTCCTCCTGCTGTTCATTAATTTGCTCTAGCAGGCACCAGTAACGTCTCCATTGTGAGACTTGTTGTTACTGTTTTTGGCATATCAAATATGCCATGGGGAGCTTCTCAGGCTCTGCCATGCGGGCAGGATACTTTCAGTAGCTTGCCGGTCTCTCCAAGAGGGACGAACGAATCGAACCCAGGTGGGCCACGTGCAAGGCAAACACCCTACCTGCTGTGCTATCACTCCAGCCTAGAAAATAAATTTCCAACTAACTAAATTGTATCCTTAACATGCTTCCTTCCCAATCTACCCCACTCTTCCCCACCCCCCCCCCCCACCCCGCCCGAGGCCCATGGAGGGCAGCAATCTTTCTGAATATTGAACTGGGGCCATCACAGTTTTTAAGCTCGTACATCCCATGGACAAAGTGACGGGGCAGTACCAAAGAGATCCCCTGGTGTCAAGGACAGTGGTGGCCTGGCTAAGATGGTGGGGGTATGGTATTAATGCACAGTAAATCAATGCTCCATATTAACATACAGAAAGTTTCCAAGTGGCTCTGATCAGCATCCTAGGTGGCTGGATTCTGGCACTGGCTGATCAAGGCAACGGTTGCCCATCCTCACTTGTACAAAGGCAAGAGAAGGGAAAGGAGAGGAGGAGGAATGATCTGGACATCATCCAGTCCCTTCCACTTACTCTCTTCCCATCCGTTCCCCACTCCCTCAAGTCCTTCCAACTGCGATCCAGCCCCATCTGCTACTTCTGCTCACAACCCTCAATTCAAGTCCGTACCATTGCTCTCTGCAAAAACCATCACAAACTGGCCTTCCTGCCTTTTATTTCTCCTCTAGATCATTCTCCCTAACAGCAGATAGGGAGGTTTTTGTTTGCTTGTTTTATCTCACAGAGAAGAGTGTGACACCCTAGCCCGCCATCCATGGCTCCCCGACAGGGAGGCACTAAGTCAAACCCCTCCCTGAAGACCACGTGCAAGCCAGTCACCCACTCCTCTCCATGTCCAGTGTTCACTGCTCCAGCTGCACTTGCCTCCTGGGAGTTCTGGAACTGCACCTATAACTCCTCTTGTCATGAGGGGCTCCCCCTGTCTGGACCAGTCCTGCCAAGTTCTCACAGTATTTATATTCTTTATGGACTCTCTTTTTTTTTTTTTTTGGCTTTTGGAGGCATACCCAGTGATGCTCAGGAGTTACTCCTGGCTTTATACTCAGGAATTACTCCTGGTGGTGCTCAGGGGACCATATGGGATGCTGAGGAGCGACCCTGGTCCCCCGTGTGCAAGGCAAATGCCTTACCCACTGTACTGTTTATGGTGCCAGGGATTGAATCAGAATTTGCCACTTTTAAGGCAAGTGCCTCACCTGCTTTGTTATCTCTCCAACCCACTGAAATTTTAAGTAGACAAAAGATCAGAACACAAGGGAATCAGAGCAATAGTACCGTGGGTATAACTTACTGTTTGGTATGTTTGTAATACTTACATGTTTTAACTAAGTCTCATGATGGAAACATTACTGGGCCCACTTGAGAAAATCGATGAACAATGGGAGTACAGTGACAGTGACATGTTTTAAAAGTTAAACAAAAATAATATGTTTTTTTATTATGTCTTCTTGATGTCTTCTTGATCATAAACTATTTTGCTTAAAAAAACATTACTGAAATTTTATTCACTAGTATTTGGTAGTTTTGCACTACAGTTTGTAAGTGAATAGACCTGTGGTTTTCTTTTTTGTTTGTTATCTTTATCAGGATTAAGTAATATTAGAATATTGAATAGAATGTTGGAAATTGAAATATTGTTTTCTTCATTCCATTCTACTGTTAGTAAATTTTATATTTCTAAAATTTAAGTGGTTACCTTTAAGATTTTAGCTCACTTGCTTAACTATAAACTGTCACTGTCACTGTCCTCCCATTGTTCATGGATTTGCTCGAGCGGGCCCAGTAACGTCCTCATTGGAGACTTTGTTGTTACTGTGTTTGGCAAATCGGATACTGACTTATGGGCCTAAGCATCTTGAGACACTGGTTCTGTATTTGAACTGTGAGCATTGTCTGTCTTAGGACAGAGTAATAGACTATATATAAATATCTCATATTGGTCACCTTTCTCACATAGATAAAATTTGAACCCAAATTTTCATTTACCTTGCTGATAAATATTTCTCAAATATTAAGTATTTAATTTAATTGAGTTTATTATGAGCACAAAGATCTGGGTCTGAGTTCATTTTAGAAGGTCTTTCATTATTTTGTCAGTAAATTGCTGACATGTTTTTAATTAAATTTATATATATTTGATTTAGAAAGAAAATTACAGAAATGTACAAAATAAAAAGTGAAAAATCTCACCTAGTGTCACCCTGTTGACTATTTGGGATGTAGAGGTTGTATTGGTTCAAGGAGTTCGAGTGGAAAATCTCATTTCAGGTCCTGAGCAACATTCATACGGTCAGAGCCACATGGCAGCCCAAAAAGCCCAAAACGTGGACTTTTTCTCCCCAGGTAAGTCAGTTGTGAGAAAAAAGATTATAAGATGAACTTTTTCCTCCTGTTGAGTACTATGATGAGGTAGTCAGAGTATTCTCTTTAAGTGCCATTCATGTTTAGTGCAGAATGGATGAACTGTATAGGCATCTTTAGAGTCTTGAATGTTCATTGAGAACTTTGATAAAAAGTTATCCATATTTATGACTCACCATAGTTATAATTCCTATGAATCATCCCATTTGGTGTATTTCAGAGTTCAGTCTAGAAAAAGACCTTTGATGAAAGAGAAATTGAAGAATAAAAATAAGGAAGTTGTTCAAACATGAAATATCCAATTATGCTAATGGGAACAATGTTATTTATCAGATCACATCGGACATAGTGCTAGGGGACTGGTTGGTGCATTACGCCCAAGAACTGTTAAGATTCGAACAAAAAAAAGACCAGAATGTGGTTAGGTGGTCCCATGTCACTGAGTCAGTATTCCATAGGTGCCAGTAAAAACAAGGACGTCTTGGTCTTTTCATTATAAAGTTTTAATAGTTGTTGTTCTTGCCTTCTTTCTATGGCTTGCATTTTTAGTATTTACTTCCTGCCCACAATAATTCCTTTGTGTTATTGAAAGCTAAGAACCCATCATTACCCTTCCTTTTACTGCATCAGAAGATATTGCAGCAAGATGGAGGTTGGTGAGAGGGCAGAGTGGGCATTGGAGGCCCAGCCCCTCCCTGTGTGCTAAACGTCTCTGCACTCCTGAAGCCCCCAGGAGCTTCGAGCTGTCTGCTGCTTGTATTTTGACACAACACTTAACAATTCTGATGTAACATCTCTATGTGTGTGAAGGGCTGAGATTCAAATTCCCTAATGTTTTCTTAGACATAAAACAAACTATTTGAAGGACAGATAATTAGCATGTGTTATTTTATTGAATGAAATGAGGCATCTGTTAGGTGCAAGGCATTTTCCCTAAGTAATGTGGGCATTTCAGTGTCGTTAGGGAGGAAACACACACATGTATGACAACATTATCCTCGGCCCATGATACACCATTCATGTACAAATTAAAAGTAAAACTATAGGTTTCCTTAGAAGATGTCAATTTTGGCTGGGCTGTCTAGACTTTGAATCCTATTTTAAAAAGTAGTTTTTACTCCTTTTATATTCTACAGTTTCATGTATATTATGGGATTACTTCTTGAAATAGCATTGTATAAACTTCAGCAGACTGACTTATTGGCCTGAGCATCTTGAGACACTGGTTCTGTATCTGAACTATAGCAGGCCCCTCTAAGTCTGCTCTCAGGGGTTCCTAGAATAGTGCTCTGAGGTGTGTAGTGAGCGTGCCTCTCACACGGGTGGAATGTAATGGTTACAGGACTCCAAGGGCTGTGCGTGCCCCAAGAAGGGAGAAATTGATTCTAGTCCTTAGGCTCCATCAAGAAACTAGACCTTGAAGGTTGGATAAGATTTTATAGGCAAGAAAGAGGGCATAGTGGCCTAGGGAGAGAGAAGGGAGTAAACAAAAAGGAAAGCAAAAGAAATTTGACAAGGCACTCTCAGTAAAATTGAGCAAATGTGTATATAGACTTTCATTTTTGTTCTGTTTATAAATAGTATCTGAGTCCAACACTTGTTTCACATTAAGCTCTATTGTAAGCAAAGAGTAAGTGAAGGTAAAGCTATTTCTCTTCAGCACAAATGTTAAGGTTGAAAATATCAAATAAGTGGTAGGGATGAAGAAAGCTGTCTGCTTTTTGTTTCCTTAAAAGCACATTTATCTAGGAAGCATTGACAGGTAGATACAGCTGAAACTTCCCTCCCATTTGGAATTTTTGGGTGACTTTTGGTTCTCTCTTGTTTCAGGTTACTGGCATTTTGCCCTGTTTGCTTGATGGTGATTGTTTTGTCAGGTCTAATTCTTCATCTCCGGATCTTGGAATATTATTTGAACTCGGAATTTCTTATATTCGTAATGTATGTCATTTGAAAGACAAAAGTTTTCTGACATATCAGTTAAAAGAGAAGTAAAGTACTGAGCACTATTTGCAAGTAAAATAATCAAGCATTTTACATGTAACTGAATTTTAATTCCTTGAAAAATGAGAAGGGCCGTGTTTCTAATTTTCTGTGTAGTGAATGTTTAGAATGAAACATTCATTAGTGTTTAGAATGAAAGTGCATTGATTTTATTTTATAGCTAAAAGAACCATCACTCTTTTATAGAATAAAGATTTTAAAGAGACAGGACTAGCAGAAAGTGATTAAAAAATTAAAAAATCTGTATGGCATCCCATAGAGATGGGATTTACCTCTTTCCCAAAGTGTCAAAATACATTTAACCTTGTAAGCAGGGTTCTAATTAAGAGAAGCTGGAGTGATAATTTTTATAAAGTGAGCATCAGAGAGATGGATTGGTTTTTGTGTATAGGTGATGGAACCAGTGGGTGGCATCTGTGATGGTAATGAAATGTTTCCACATTCTAATAAAACCTTGAGAAAATGTATGCATATTTGGCTGTGAAGAAAGCCAAAGAACCACTTATTATGACAGTAATGGAATTACACTGTGTTATCGTTTCCTTTCTTTCTTTCTTTTTCTTTCTTTTTCTTTTCTGAATGTAGAGAGAGGCTCCAAGCAGTGTTCAGGGAATCTGGGCCCTCACCCCGGTCCCGTCCACTTAGCAGATCATGCCAGGCTGTTGAGTGCTGGGCCTGGCAGCGCAGCACTGCTCAGGGGTAGCTGTGCCAGAGCCCACTGGGGTGAACCCTAAGAGGTCCGTGGGGCATGCAGAACTGGGGGTTGAGCTTGGGGCCCTGTACAGGCAAAACTTATACTGCTGATCACAGTTCCAGGATATATCTTTTTTCTTTTAGCTTTTTTTTTTGCTGGGTGGGGGGTAGGAGATACCCAATGGGGTTCAGGGGCTGCTCCTGGCTCAGTATTAAGATGTCATTCCTGGCAGTGTCCAGGAGACCATGTGGTGCCAGGGGTAGAACCTATGCTCAGCTCTTTGAACCATTTCCCTGGCCCCATTTTCATTTCTTTAAGGAGTGTGACTGTGTAAAACAGATCCAGAAACCTCTGGAAGTTGTTGTGGCAGTAAAGTACTGAGCCAAAAGGCCTCTGAATGTTTTATTTGAACGTGCTATTTCTTGGTGAAACAAAGCCTCATAATTGATATTGATGGACTTGAGATCATTCCACAAGATATTTATATTCAATAAACAATAGTAGTAGTAATAAACATAGCATCAGACGTTAGGGCTATTCAGAAACATTTTAACAGAATTATTTTTATTTTAAGTACTTAAAGACTGTAATTTGTACATTAATTTGATAGCCCCTTCATTTGACCTGTTAGTATAAATGAGTTTCATTTAATTTTCTTGTTACAATGTTGTAGTTCTAAAGGTGAATAAAAACGGACAAGAATTTTGTTCCTTTGGAAAGATTTGGTAACTACTTATAAACTTGACTGGCTCAAGTATTAAGTTTTGTGTACCTTTCTATTTCCTAGTCAACTGGTGAAAGAGGAGAACTGAGTTGTGGCTGGGTGTTTCTTAAACTTTTTGATGACAGTGGAATTCCTATCCCAGCAAAGTAAGTTAGCTGCATATTTCTTCTTAATAAGTGATTGTATAGAAATTGAGTTTTTCAGATTCTTGATACTTCATGTTTGGAGAACATAGGTTCTGTTTGCAGTTCAGTAACTTGAAGACAGAGTTGTTGTGGTTTGTGTTGATTTACTACTTTGGGACAGTGTATAAAAACAGCATGCCATCTTATCCAAAAAAGGAAGAAATGAGACATACTGAATTTATTATTATTATTAAATTTTTTGGTTTTGGAGCCATACCCAACTACTCAGGGGTTACTCTTGTCTCTGTGCTCAGGGATCACTCCTGGTGGTATTCAGGGGATCATGTGTGATGCTGAGGATCAAACCCAGGTTGGCTACACACAAGGCAAGCTCCCTACCTGCCGTGCTCTCACTCCGGCCCCTGCACAATTACTTAAAAAGATATTTATGCTGGCTTGCTGCTAAGAACATCCCTTCAGTAGTTCTTTCTTAAAATTTATTTTTCTGGTATGAGCACATTTCGCAACACCAAAACGGCCTGATTCTCTCCCAAGAATTGGAAAGCCAAGTCCAGTCTTCCACATCTGTGCCTCTGCCTTTATTGTGTAGACAATACATTGAAATTGTAATGGTAGCTCTTGTTAACATCTTTAACTTTTAAGATCAAAGGGCAGACTAATAATAAATATTTGCAGTATATAAATAATAGATTACTACTGCTAATATTAAAAGAGTCCTCAAAAACTAATAAGGAAATTAGCAAACTTTTGGAATAGGTGCACACAAACAATCCAAGTCTGGGAAATATATAAGAATCACAGAGGAGCTGCGAAGGACAGTGAATAACTGGTGATTCATCCCAGGTTCAGTGAAAACCCTCTGGTTCTCATCAGGCTCTGTCCTTGGTACTGTGAGCAGGCTCCATAATGTCACCGAGCTTCCATTTCTCTTGTCTCTTTTGTTGTTGTTGTTGTTGTTGTTTTGGTTTTGGGGGTTCAAAAAATACCCATACCCAAACCAAGCTCAAGGCTTACCCCTATTCCCTGACTCTGTGGAACATATGGGTATGTGGGATCAAACCCTGGTTGGCTGCATGAAAGTCAAGCGCCTTCCCCCCATGCCATTTCCCCGGCCCCTCCCTCATCTTTAGAATGGAGTATTACAGTTACTGCCACAAAGGTTTATGGTGAGATTAGCTCAGTTAATGTTCCATGCCACCTTGGCCTCCTCTGACCCCATGGGCATGGGTGTGGCCTCCTTCCTGGGGCAGAGGTCAAAGTCCTAACTGCGCTCTGCTGGGTGAAGTCACCAGCAGAAGTGGGTGGGTGCTCAGGCGCCACTACCACACAATGGATGGAGTCACCAGGATGCTTATGCTTCTCATTTCTAATAATGTTCTGAATTTTGAGTAGTATTTAAGTGGTAATAAAATATATTTATCTGCTCTTGTCTTTCTAAAAGTAAAATTGCAGCTCCTTTTTAAATGAGGTGTGCCTCTATGTATCGACAGAGAAACATTTCCAAGGTCCATTATATAAAAAAGCAAGTTGTAGGATAGTAGATAGACTGTAACTGCACCTTCTCTTCACAACCAAAGTGGCTCTCTTTTGGGCCCTACTTTCATATTTTAAGGAACAATATCAATTCAATTCATAATAGCCCTATTTAAAATTATTAAGCACTTTTAAAAATACTTGAAATGTATAAAAACATAGCATATTCACATGTGCTTTAACATGTCATTAAGTCAAAACTAAGGTGTGGAAAATCAATTTTTTATAGTTCATAAATAAGAAAAGTTTTATTAACTAGTCTCTTAGCTCACAAAGGAATCAACAGTTTTCATCATAGAAAGCCTCGTTTGTGATTATCTGTGCTAAAGTGTTTATCACTCCTATTCTCGTGTTACCAAATGCCCGTGATATGTCTCATAATGATATTTTGTGCTTTTGTAGAACCTATGAACTCTTCTTGAATGGTGGCACCCCTTATGAAAAAGGTGTAGAAGTTGACCCCTCACTATCCAGAAGAGGTGATGTACTTATGTATTGCTTTTCTTCTTTTCCTTAAAAAGTAAATGGAAGGTCAGAGAAAGAGCTGCTTTGAAGTACATGATTTGCGTACTGGAGCCCTGGCACCACATGGTCCCCTGAGCACCACTGTTAGCACTCCTCGATATGCCCTCCCTCTCCACCCCTCCCCCCCAATAAACAATTAAAGAAGGACTGAGGAGATGGTGCTGCTTGGGGTTACATGCCAGGAATATTCAAGATTCTCAGTTCAGTCTCTGGCACCAAACGTTGCCTAGAGTGGCCCTGTTGCCACACTGGGTGGGACCTCTGTATAAAGGGATTAAACGAGGTTCATCGGAGAAAACAGTACTTTGAAGTACACAGAACACTCTTCTCTTGATGTCTCATTTTAAAAAAAATACATCATTTGGGGGCTGGAGTGATAGTACAGTGGGTAGGGCGTTTGCCTTGCATGCAGCCGACCCGGGTTTGATTCCCAGCATCCCATATGGTCCCCCGAGCACCACCAGGAGTAATTACTGAGTGCAGAGCCAGGAATAACCCCTGAGCATTGTAAGACCCGAAAAGAAAAAAAAATCACTTGATACTAAAAGCCTTTTTTCCTTTGATTTTTGCTATTGTTGTGGGACCACATGTGGGACTACTAGGTGCAGGACCACATCGCAAGTCCATCTTTTGGGGAGGTAAAGGACCTCCCAAGTAGTGTGCAGGAGACCTGGGGTGCCTTTCCTGGTAATATACAGCCAAGCAAGCCGGATGATTCAATGCTGGTGCTGAGGGTATGTTGCTTGCTGGGGCTACCCTGGCAGTGTTTGGGGCCTCCGGGCCTTCACCCATCAATGCTCTAGGGGCCACGTGGTTCTGGTTAATGGAACCAGGGCTGCCTGGCATGCATTCTAGGCTCTGTACTATCACCCCAGCTCCCATTATTAAAATGTAGTCTTTTAAGTCAAGGTGCTATTTTCTTGGTAGCACGTGCTCCTCTTGTATAAAAAAGCAAGAAATGGGAGGTCTCTGCATTGCTTTCCTTCCCGTGAGCAGGAGGCTGATGCTTCTGACTTTCCCAAAAAGAAGAGAAGAAGCTAATTCGGAGAATGCCTGCTGCCGGGTCAAAGGGTGTGGACATCTGAAACACAAATCCATGCCAAATTGCCTTCCAGAAACACAGAGAATCTTTTTTCTTTTCTTTTCTTTCCTTTTCTTTTTTCTGTTTTAGGGCCACACCCTGTGGTGCTCAGGGGTTCTCCTGGCTCTGCACTCAGGAATTACTCCTGGAGGTGCTTGCATGGGGCGGGGGGGGGGGGGGGGCACATATGAAATGCTTGGGATGCAATCTGGGTCAGCTACAAACAAAGCAAGTGCCCTATCCATTCTACTTCACTCTGATCCATGTCTTTTAATATGGCTACCCACCAGGTCCTACACTAGGTAATGGGTAAAGGAGAGAGTACAGTGGTCAGAGTGCCTGCTGGCCTAGAGGACATTCCATCACTCTTGGATGTCCCTCTCCCGTGTTTGATGCTGTAGGAGACATAGCAGTGCTGCTGTACCCGTGATGTCAGTTCCACTCCTCGGGACCGAGGAGTTTGAGGGAAGCCAGACATCCCTTCCTGCTCCCCGGGAGTCCTTGCAATCTGGCCTCAGTGATCTGGCTGAGGCACCTCCTTTGGTGACTGCTTGCAGGACTGCGAAGAGCAGTAAGATCATACTCTCCCAGCAGGTGTGCGAGCGATATGTGCCTTCTTACAGCTCAGCACCCTGGATCCTCAGCACTGCTTTATTGCATACTCCCTGTCCTAAACATGGCAGGTTTTGTTTTGGTTTTGCTTGGGGAGAGAGGGTCACTTCTGGCTGTGCTCAAGGCTTCCTCCTGGCTCTGCACTCAGGGATGACTCCTGGTGGGCTCAGGGGACCATATGGAGTGCTGAGTGTGGAACCCAGGTGGGCTACTTGCAAGACAAGCACCTACCCACTGTACTATTGCCCTAGTTCCTAAGCACAGCAAGTTTTGACATTTATCTTATTTTATATTTAAAGCATATGGGAATGTTTTCCACCAGATGATGACAATGAGAAGACAACCCCAACTACTTGTCAAATTGAGGTCGCTGAACAAAAGATCAAGGAACTTACTAAGGTTGGTGGCTACTGCGTGCTGGGGAGAGCAAGCCCTTCAGCATTGGTGTTTAGCTCTGTCTGCCTCTGCTTGATCATCTGTAACTGGCTGTTCTTTTCACATTAAGCTGTCAGTCAAAAATCAATAAGGAAATTGAATAGCAGTGACTTTTAGCTTAGCATATTCTTCTGTTTACTAGACTTGATCAAAAATCATTTAGAAATAGTTTTGTTTTAAGAACTATACCCACGGCAGTGCTCAGGGTACCCCCAGAGCTAGTCTAGATGGTACTCAGGGGAGGGAACCGAGAGGTACCCAAGATCCACGCTGCGTCTCACGCATGCAGGGTACAGGTGCTCCACCACCGAGCCATATCCTTGCACCTGCTGGAAGTGGCAGAAAACCTTTGGATTAAGTGAGTTTGCTGGTCTATGACCCTGTCTTCAAAGAATTTTTTTAAATGTCAAGCTCTACATACCATAAAATTTACCCCTTTCAATTCATAGTTGTTTGACTTTGGGCAGATCTTTACTACTACCATGGCATCAAGACAGTATTCTCCTCATTGTAAGCAATTATCTCCTGCCCCTTGGTGGTCAGCACTACAGTCTGGTCTTTGGCAACAGCTCAATGGTTTCTTTCTTTGTAGTTTTTGCCTTTTCTGGACTGTCATAGAAATGGCATCATATTGCATATAACTTGTGGAGTCCAGCATCTTAAAATGAATTCAAGATGCCTTTGTTCCATAGTATGCTAGTAATTTGTTCATCTTGTTTGGCTACATTTGGTGGCTATACCATAATGTGAACATATGGATCATATAGACATATGACAGTTATGAGTGAAGTTGCTTTAGATACTTGCATGTGAGTAATTTGGATGTGATACAGATGAGGCAGAAGCAGCAGTGGCAGGTCTCTGTTAGTTCACGATTCTCAGGTGAAGAATGAAAGAAAGAATGAAGAATGAAAACACTGAGTAATAAAGATGCTCAGACTCAGAGTTGGAAAGTAGGAACATTTATTGGAAAGTAGAAGAGGAAAGAAAAGAAGCTCCCCAAGTGGAGAGGACCTTGGAGTTTTGTGTGTGCCCTTTTAAAGGTTCCTTGCTTTCCTTATCAGTTGACAAGGGTTTACAAAAGATGCCAGAAAATTGCAGGGATGTCTAGCTAGTCGATCTGTCTGGACATAATTGCCTATTAACTTTTTTTTTCTTTTTAAGTCACACCCAGCGATGCACAGGGTTCACTCCTGGCTCATGCACTCAGGAATTACTCCTGGTGGTGCTCGGGGGACCATATGGGATGCTGGGAATCGAACCCGGGTCAGCCACGTGCAAGGCAAATGCCCTATCTGCTGTGCTATTGCTCCAGCCCCAATAGCCTATTATCTTAGTTTCCTTATCAGCGGAGACTTCAGGGCAGAATTTTATGTTCCTGGGAAACCCCAGGAATGTCTCCAGGAAGACAGGACCTTGGGGGTGGAATGTGTGTCAAATGGTTAAGGGAGAGATAGAATATCTTGAGAGAGAAAACTAGCTTCCTCTCTCACTGGTAAGGGGAAACTGAGGTTTCCTCTTTCAGATGGGGCATATATCTTTATTTCCTATGGGTATAAATACTTAGATAGGTCAAATGGTGTTTAACTTTATCAGAAACTGCCAAAGTGATTTCTAAAATGACTCTACCAGGTTATTCTCCCATCAAAAGTGTGTGGAAGTTCTAATTATTCTATATTCTTTTCTTAGAATTGTTTAAAACATTTTGGGCCACACCCTATGATGCTCAGGGCTCACTTCTGCCTCTGGACTCAAGGATCACTCCTGGAGGTGCTTGGTTGACCATAACTAGGGATCAAACCCAGATCACCTGTGTGCAAGGCAGTGTACTGTACTATCTTCCAGCCCTTAATTCCATATTCTTGGTATTCTCAACTTTTGCCTCTTGACCATTTTAATAAATAATAATAGTGATAGCACAGCGGGTAGGGCATTCGCCTACAAGCGGCCAACATGGCCGACCCAAGTTCGATTCCTCCGCCCCTCTCGGAGAGCCCGGCAAGCTACCGAGAGTATTCGATATGCCAGACACAGTAACAACAAAGTCTCCAGTGGAGACGTTACTGGGCCCGCTCGAGCAAATCGATGATCAACGTGAGGGCCTTTACCTTTACCTTTACCAATATCACTGTATCACTGTCATCCCATTGTTCATCGATTTGCTTGAGCGGGCGCCAGTAACATCTCCATTCATCCCTGTCTTCATCCCTGTCATGTTCAGGGTCAGGGGAATGAGGACCGTCATTGTTGCTGTTTTTGGCATATCAAGTACACCACAGGTAGCTTGCCAGGCTCTGCCATGCAATAAATAATAGTACCTCATGGTAATTTTAATTTTAATTTTTTTTATGATGCTTTTACACTGGTAGAATCCCAGTTTGGTCAGTTGCTAACTCAGCAATTTCTTGGACAAACCTCATTGAATCATCTCTCTCAGGGTCTTAGTGTTAACATCTTTAAAATGGGCATAATCAGGGACTGAAAAGACAGTACAGTGGGTAAGACATTTGTCTTGCATGTGAACAACCTGGGTTCGTTCTGTAGCAATCCATATGGCCCCTCAAGCCCAGCCAAGCGTGGGCCCTGAGAGCAGAGCCTGGAGTAAGTCCTGAGCACTACCGAGTGTGGCCCCAAAACCAAAATAAGTAAAATGGGAATAATAATATCAGCCCTATAAAGCTACATATAATGAAGTTTAATGCATATAAAAAACAAAAGCTGATGTTTATAATTCATGGAACACAGTAAAATATAATGTTAGCTATTATGTAATGGATCTGTGTAAATATAGTGTCAGGAAGATGGTGTTAGGTGTGACAAAATATATTCAAATAAAGATGTGCTATACAGGGGCCAGAGATAGTATAAGGATTAAGATACTTCCCTTGTATGTAGCTGACCCAGATTTTATTCCCAGCATTACATGGTCCCAGTAGTAAATTCTGAGCACAAAGTTAGGAGTATCTCCTGAACATCACCCAGTATGTCCCCCAAACCCCAATTCCCTTCCCTGCGAAAATGGACTGTGTAATAGCAGTAATACTGGGAGAAGTTGAGATAAATTTTGAAGGACCAGAGAGATGTGCTCACATGAAGATGTAGAGGGAAAGAACTTTCCACAGAAGGTCCTTCATGGTCATGGATGGCAGTGGTGGACCCCAAGCAGGCTTGGGAACAGAGACTGATGCAGCCGGACAGCCCTAAGGGCTCACTCTCTACTCCTACATCATTAAGAAGTGAGGAAGGAAGCAAAATACCTGCACGCTCCACTGAATGGTTGCTTTTCTCACTCTTGGTTGTGCTTTAAGTTAAATATCCTTTTCAAAATCTCCAGTGAAATATATTTCATTAATAGTTGAATCTATCAATAGACATTAGTAAAGTGTTCATGAGCATTTATTCTCTTGGCTTCCCCTTACCCCCATCAGTGTTCATGGAGCTTATAAATTCCCTTTTGCCACTGGTCTTTCCTTGGAAAATAATTTTCAAGATTAAAAAAAAAAGGAGTACAGAAGCAGCCTTTGTAAAAGAAGCATCCTGTTTAGTTTCTCCAGCCTCCCGCTACTCAGTTCCTTGGTGAAGTCTCACGGAGGCCAGTTCTCCATGTCTTTCAAGCACAGCTCTTAACAGTGCTTTGGCCCACACACAGGTTTGCAGGTACATTTTGCGATCTGGGCAGCTGTGCTGAGTGTGCAGAGCTCAGGTAGGCGGGCCCAACACAGATGCAGGAAATCTCCTAGATGAATTCTCTCGTAAAAAAATCTTCCTGTTTATTTTTATTATATTTTGGCATTATGATTACAATCTTGTTATTGTTTATGGTTTTGATGTACAAAGTTATCTCATCACCACCGAAGTACCCGTGACTTTCCACAACTGCCCTTTTGTCACCGCTAGTTGGATCTTCACACCCCTCCGCTCCCCTCGATGGCTCCCCACCACTGTTTGTGAATCAGTTCTATAGCCCAAGGCCAAGGGTTTATCATTATTCATCAGTGTCTATTCCCTTGCTTTGTTTTTCTCTATTGCACAGATAAGTGAGACCCTTTGTTATCAGTCTTTCTCCCTCTGACTTATTTTGCTTAACATGATCTCCAGTTCCATGCACATGACAGCAAGATGTATTTCATCATTTCTTACAACTTATAGCACTCCATTGTGTATGTGTGCCACAGTTTCTCTATCCATTCATATACTTCTGGAAACTTGGGTTGTTTTAAAATCCTGGCGATTATACTAAGCTCTGCTAGAACATAAGTGTACATATATCTTTATGTGTTATTTTATTTTGTTTTAAGGATAGATGTCAAGAAGTGGGTTCATTGATCATATGAGAATCCTATTTTTACTTTTCTTTAAAATTTATTTTGGGGGCACACCCAGTGATGCTTAAGGATTACTTCTGGCTCTGCGTTCAGGAATTCTTCTGGAAGTGCTAAGGGGAACCATATGGGATGCCAGGGATTGAACTCCAGTCAGCCATGTGCAAGGCAAGCACCCTACCCACTGTACCACATCTCTGGCCCCCTGTTCTTACCTTTTTGAAAAATCTCCATATGTTTTGTCACTTCAGTGAGAATGGCATATAACAAGATGACTGGAAACTGTTTTAGTGGGGATGCAGGGAAAGAGGAACCCATTCTCTATGTTGGTAAAAAAACATCTGCTAGAAAAACAGTTTGGAGATTCCTCTACGTGATGAATTCTTTTTTTTTTTTTTAATTTTAATTGAATCACCATGAGATACAGATACAAAGCTTTCATGTTGAGTTTCAGTCTTACAATGATCAGTGTGATGGATTCTTAAAGAATCTTTGTGGCCCAAATCTCAGGGATGAGACTCCTGCTTAATCCCAGAACTTGAGCTACACCCAGAAATGTGTATTTAACCGGAGCAAAGATCTTCCTGCTGTGCACTTCTCTGGAGCTCAGCCTAGCACCTGTCATCCCTGTGCCCCTCCCCA